TCATTCCTAATTGCATGGATTTGGGCCTTTTCTTTCCTTTTCCTGATAAGGTTGGCTAAGGGTTTGTCAATTTTGTTTATTCTTTCGAAGAACCAACTCTTGGCTTCATTGATTTTTTGTATTGCTTTCTTAATCTTCATTGCATTGATTTCTGCCCTGATCTTTATAATTTCCTCCCCTGTATGAGCTTTTGGTTTGTCATGCTCTTCTTTTTCTAGAAGCTTGAGGTTCAGCATCAGGTTGTTTAATTGGGCTCGCTCTGTTTTCCTAATGTGAGTATTCGTTGCTATGAATTTCCCTCATAAGACTCCTTTCATTGTGTCCCACAGATTCCGATATGTTGTATTGTCATTGTCATTTATTTGGAGGAACTGTCTGATTTCTTCTTTCATTTCCTCTGTGACCCATTGGTTATTCAGAAGTGTGTTGTTCAATTTCCATGTGTTTATGAAGTTTTTGCAGCTTCTTTCGCTGTTGATCTCCAATTTCATCGTACTATGTTCTGATAATATACAGGGCATAACTTCCATTCCTTTGCACTTACCTAAATATTTTCTATGAGCGAGTATGTGGTCTATTTTGGAGAATGAACCGTGTGCAGCTGAAAAGAATGTATTCTGATTTTGTGGGGTGAAACACTCTGTAAACATCTGTTAAGTTCATATGTTCAAGAGTTTGATTGAGTTCTAATATTTCATTGCTTGTTTTTTGTGTAGGTGATCTATCTTTTTGTGACAATGGGGTATTGAGGTCCCCCACTACTATTGTATTAGTGCTTATATGGTTTTTCATGTCCGTTAGTATTTGTTTTATATAGTTCGATACTCTAGTGTTTGGTGCATAGATATTTATGATTGTCATCTCTTCCTCTTGGATTGTTCCCTTTACAAGGATATAGTGTCCTTCTTTGTGTCTCTTAATCAGTGTGGGTTTGAAATCCAGTTGATCTGCAAAGAGGATAGCTACTCCTGCTTTTTTTGGGTTCCTATCACATGGAGTATTGTTTTTCACCCTTTAACTTTCATTCTATGAGTTTCTTTTCGAATTAAGTGTGTTTCTTGTATGCAGCATGTTGTTGCATTTTGCTCCTCAACCCATTCTGCCAATCTATTTCTTTTGATTGGTGAGTTGAGACCATCAACATTGTTGGTTACAACTGATATGTATTATCATTGTCATGACTTTTTCTTTTTGTTTGATCCTCCCCCTTTGCTTTTAATTTCTTATCATGTCCGGTGGATTAAATCTGCTGGGCTTCCTGGGGTTGTGTTCCTTGTTGTCTTTTCCTAGGATTTTGTCTAAAACTTTTTGGAGTGCTGGTTTGGTATTCACGAAGTTCCTAAGGTGCTCTTTGTCATGAAAGTATCTTATTTCTCCATCAATTTTGA